GGGCACTGATAGCAGAACAGGGATGCTCCCACTCACACACTCTGAAATCTCTGAATATCTCCTGGGCTGCAGGCGAAATGGCAGCTGCTAAAAAGTGAGCTTAAATACAGGGAGTAGCTTTCTTAATCCCCCAATGCCTGTATTTTACCTAGTGAAGCTCAAGCACAGTTCATATCTGTTTGTTGTCTTGCCTTAAGGAATGAAAACAATACAGCTTAATGTTTAAAATATGTCTTGGAAAAACAGAGCTGACAGGTATGTCTTCCTGTTGTAAACAGGATTTGGGGTCTGGATTTCTTGTGCAAATTACCTTTGACAGTTGTTTTTAAGCTAGTGCTTCCAAAAACCAATAAATGATTTTTTTGTCCTTGTTATATTAATGACTCAGCCTCTTGACAAATGTGATCCTACTGGGGCCTGTAGAGGACATTAGAAAGGGACATCATATTAAAATAAAACACAAGTGAGAAATAGGAAACCAGATTCTATTAGGCCCTAATTTTACGCAGTAATTAAAAATCCTTGACCTTCCCATTGCACTCATCCACTGGCAGTACGGATGGCTAAAGAGCAGCAGAGGGTATCAGCCCTGCTGCTAATTTTAGCCCAGTGCCTGGGGTGTGTGCCTGTGTGTGCATGCAGCATCTGCAGGGCCATGGATGCAGCTCCAATAGAAACAAATCCACACTGCTGGGCCCCTTGGAGGAGGGGGAGCCTTGGCAGCATCTTTGAACGCTCCTGCTGCTGGGCTTGGTGGTCTTGGAGGTGATGATCACAGCATAAGATGAACTCAGGGTGCTGTGTTGGTGGAAACATCTGAATGATGGGCTTGGTGATCCTGCTGGGCTTGGTGATCCTGGAGGTGATGAGAACAAGAGATCACAGCATAAGATGAACTCAGGGTGCTGTGTTGGTGGAAACATCTGAATGTTGGTTGAACTCTGGCTGTGTGATGGGCTCAGAGTGCAGCCCTGTCCCTGAGAGGGATGGGGGTTAATCAGGATGGAGGAGAAACACTGTGAGATTTTAGAAGTTTTCAGTTTGACCCTTCAGGAGGCCAGCTGGTCAGCTCACCTGCTGTGGCAGAAATGAAGGAACCAGAAGGGCAAAATGGAGACAATCTTCAAAGTGACCAAATGACAGCTGCACCACTGGCCATTGTCAGGCTGAGTACTGGGGGCTAAGGCCCAATTTCAAGGGGTTAAAATGAGATTTGTGCTGTTTGTTGCAGAATCTGTGAGTGCAGAGTGGGGCCATGGTGCCCAAGGAATGCCTTAGAGGACTGTTAGTGGCCCAGGAATGGGAGTGGACAAGGCTGGTCTGTGCCTGAAGCCACACCTGACAACACAGGGCCAGCATCTCTTGCATTCAGTACCTGCTAAAGAACTTTCACAGATTCAACTGCAGCAACATCCCAAAGCTTTACCCTTGTCCTCCTGGGTGTCTGCAGGTAGCCCAGTGCAGGTGGGAGGAGGGAGAAAACTCTTGGCAAGGCAGCAGAAAGGTCAGTGTTCTCTAATCTGGAGCTGTGACTTAACAAGCTTTCTTCTTTCCATTCATAAGACAGGACATGTAGGGATTACCATTGCTATACATAGATTGCTCTTAGCTGTGTCCTGTCCTGCTGGGAACACTGAAGAGCTGTGTCACCCTCAGGGCTGGGGATCCTTCTGCTGCTTCTCCAGTGTCCACTGTGCAGAGGGTTTCAGTGGGACCCTGGCAGGACCAGGACAACTCTGAAGCTGGAAGCACTCAAACGTTGGGTTTCCTCAGTGGGAGATCCATCAGGAAGAATAAATGTGTGGGCTGGCTGCTGCTTTGCAGGGCAGGAGTCAAAATGTAGCTCTGAAGATAATTTGTTGGGTTTTTTCCTGAACACAGGCATTTTTGGGGGCTTTTTTAAGTGCGTGTTCAGCCGGTCAGGGATTTGGCAGCGGTGTTGGATTGTGTGAGCCCGGGTGTGCACAGGGAGATAAGGAGCCACGGCGTAATCCAGAATTCCTCTACTTGATAGCCCCTTATCTCTGGGCATGGGCTCTGTGTGTTTTTGCTCTTGATCAGTCCCCTCGAGGTTCTGGCTCTGTAAACACAGTTGCTGTTTTTAATGGTTTGGAAGTGTACTGCTTTGGCTGTATTGGCTCCTGAAATAAAAGGCTGGGAAGCACCCAAAAATGAGCTCCTGGTCAGGGACATGAAAGGACCCAAACCCTCTATAGCTTGTCACAGCAATGGCTGGTGCTGGCAAACAGGCATGTTTGGACTTTCTGTTGGAATTACGGCCTGCTCCATGGAACCCGTGAGCATTTTAATATTGGGTATTTCAGTTTCAAATTGCCAAGTCACACGTGGGTAAGGCTGCATAACATAACTCAGCATATGTAGAGGTGCTGGTATTCTTAGTATTTAGGTTGCTTTCAGCAACAAACACACTGTGGAAACCACTTAAAATCCTTTGAATTCCATGGACCAAAGCAAGAAGTGTTATCCTGGGTGAAGCTGCTTAGCACAGCATAGGTGGCTTGACATTTTTTTGTCATCCAAGTTAGCAGTCACTGGAGTGACCCAGTGCAGCCTGTTGTGCAAGTGTGAGTTGGCTGCATGAGAAGAGCACTCAAACTAAAGCAAATATATGTGTGTGTGCATATTTATAAGTGCAGACTGCTCAAAAAGTGTCAAATTTTGGTGCATTCTCCAAGTCCTGCACTAGTGATTCTCAGAACATGTTGAGGATGCTGTGTTGCTGGAAAGTGTTGGATTGAGCCTACAAATTGTTTCAGGTACTGTGGGTTAGTGAGAATTCTTTACATACACCCCGTTTGGGGATTTGAGGGAGAGTGTCTGGCTCAGTATCAGGGATTCCTCCAAGGTGACAGCTTTGCTGAGGGCAGAAATTATTTACAAGTGTAGCTAAAAATGAAGTTTCCTGTTGGCAGAGTGCGGATGAGTCATTGTGGTTCTGAGTCAAGGGGTGGGATCTTCCCTTTGCTGCAGCAGGGTTTTACTTCCAGATCTGCTCTTGGTTCAGGTGTTTGCACTCTTGTCCCTGTTACTGAGAAAACAAGGGGGTATTCAGAAGGTGTAACACCCTGGCTGAGTCTCCGCCATGGAGTTAGGAGTGAGGATGTAGCCATGGCTCTCCCAATCCATCCTGTTACTCACACCAAGCGTCCTTTAACAGAACTATGTGCTTTTTTTGTACCAGTGCCCACTGGCATTAGCTGTGTTTTCCCTCTGCTTGCCATACACGGCGTCCTTCTGTCTCCATCCAGCCAGGTCTCCCTCGGGAGGAGAGGAAGATTGTGGATGTTACCACATGCATTAGAGCCAGGAGGTTGCAGTTACTTCCTCATTTCATGAAGGGTTTTTTATTAAATTTTGGAGGCTAGATTAGACTGGAGAGCCATGTAAATGTGAAAGTGTTAAACATTCCTGTGCCATTCTTGCTGAAAAGCAGCAAACCAGTAATAATTTTAAAACTGAAGTGCCGGTGGAGAGTGTTGAAGCTGTGCCAGGAATGTTCTCCAGTTGCACCTTAATGGCTGTGGATTTGTAGGAGGCAGTCTCTAGCAATACTGAAGGTGTTAGTCCTGTGGGAGTGTTTGCCTCCCTTGTGTTTGCAGAAAGGACACTAATTTTTCATCCTCCTACCTGGTGGAGTTCTGAGCTTTTCTTCCTTGTAAGAGTGCCTGAACAGTGCAGCTGAGAGTCTGCTCTGCTGCAGCTTGAGCTTTGATTTTTTTTTTTTTTTTTTTTTTTTTTTTTGCCAGAAGCTGGTCGTGTCAAACCAGAGTCCTCTAACTTTTGTCTTGTGTGCTGCTTCTACATTGACTTCCATGGCAGCATTGCCCATTAGTTGAGTTTCTGTCTCACTTGGGTTGTGCTAAAAGTGTAGCATAATGCATGCTCAAACAAAGGCAGAAAATGTGGATTCTGATAGTTGTAGTGTCAGCTTTTGCTGGTGGAGTGCATTGTTCCTGTAGAAATTGCAGTCAAAGTTGCACAATTCATTTGTAAATCTCTACCAACAAAGAAAGACTTGACTTGGACAATAGTAATGCATCTTACTTTGGCAAAATCTATTTTTTTTTTTGCTTGAATGTAATATCCTATTAGTGTTACACTAACTCACGTGGGCCCTACTATTATTCTTGCATCTTCCATTCTGGGACTTCACATGGATGCCAAATACTTTTTGCTTCCTCTAATAACCCTCTCTATTGTTTCTCAGAGAGATCTGTCAGTTTTATTGAGCTGCAGTCACAGACTCTCAGTCTGCTGACTCCTGGAGCTGGAGACAGCTGTTCTGAATGGAGAATGCACACAGATGTTTGGTCATCATACAGACGTACCTGTGTCTGAGCTTAAATTGATAGAAAATTATTTATTCCCCTCCCTTGATGAAGGGGTCTTTTTGTAACATTCTTGCCAGATTTTAAATGAGTATTTGGAAGCTTTTTAGGTGTTTAACTTATAGGTAGGCATTCTTCTGTGTGGCAGATAATGAATGGTCTTGTTGATGAAGTTGGTATAAATATGTATTTCTGGAGTCCTAGTGGGGGAGACAAGTTCTTGGCCTTTTAAGGAATTTTAAACTCTTAGTTAAGCACTCTTGCAACAAAACAAAAATCCAGAAAACCTACCATGCATCCTAAGAGCTCATAGATCTGTTGCAGTTCGTAAACTCGGAGGCCATGAACTAATGCTGTTCACTCTTCGTGGTGTTGTGCATTTTGCAGAAGGCGTTTTATCTCCCAGCGCTGCTCTCTAGACTTTTTAGAAGACATAGTGGAATATGCCAGTGTACGAAGGTACTTGTTTTCAAAAGCAGCATTAACCTCAGCTCGTTGCATGCAGTCCTCTCCTCCCTCCACCCTCTTCCACGCCAATATCTGAGGTCCTGCATGCTACTGCTGCCATCTGATCATACAACTGGCATGAATTTTTCTCAGAACACTTAACAGATTTGGCTTTTTGTTTGTTTTTTCTTTTTATCACTGCAGAACCAAGCATATATCTGGGTCTCCAAGACACAAAAGCTTGAAGAAGATGCACTTCATCAAGAACATGAGGCAGTATGACACCAAGAACAGCAGGTAACGTGCGGTGATCGAGGTTCCCCCTGTACCTGTGTGCAGTAGGAAGCAGCCTCCAGTTCCATGCAGAAAGACATTTCATGTCAGTGAGAATTAGAGGATGCCCCTGGGGCCTTGTTAGCTTTATCCAGACTTCTGTCAAAGGTTGTAGGTGCTCACGTGTGCTACATTTGCAGCAATACACTGATGATTCTGCCATCCTACTCTGAGGACGTTAAATAATTCTCTCTTTTCTCACTTTTCTTATTTCTCTCACTTCCCTTATCTCTGGCACAGAGAGGTCAGAGCTGAGAATGGAGGAGAAATGGGAGAAGCTATTAAGGAGAATGGCTTGGTTTAGCCAAATTCTTGGCTCATGGTTGCTGAGCAGAAGAGAAGGGAAGGCTGCATTTATGTTTATTATTAATAGAAGTGTGAGGTTTCTTCTAAATGTAGAATATTATCTACATCTTTTCACAACGTTTATGTAAAAATTACATAAATATAGATATATTTTTAAGGACTGGGATCTCCTTTGAGGAGCTCCCAAGGTGATGTCAGGTCCTAAACACTGAGGTTTGATAGAGAACCCCAAGGACCTGCAGGGTCAATGTTAAACCTCTGCTCTTCTGCTGCTTTCTGAAAATGTTTAATCCATAGCAGTACCTATGACTTGCAGAGCAAGATAAGAGCCTTGTGTTAATATCCCATAAAAAGCTGCTTTGTAACTTCTGGATCTTACTTCATGTCCTGATCTTTCCCCATCTGCTGACAGGATAGTGTTGATCTGTGCTAAACGAACCCTGTGTGTGGCGTTTTCTATCCTACCTTACGGGGAGGGGCTGCGGATCAGGTGAGTCTCTGCTCTGTGAAATGTCTGCTCTGTTGTTTCAAAAGATCTCCTGAAATGAGGGTGCTTTTGGTGTAGGTCTCCTGTTCTGAAGCAAGTGAGCCTATTTAACCTGCCATTCATGTGTAAGGACAAGAGCTTGCTGTCAGAGCAGTAAAACCAGGCGCTGCCACACTGTCAAAGTGTTCATTCCATCTCCAAGAGAAAAATACTGGAAAAAGCAGACTTTTCTTCCAGTGTTTATTCACATTTTAAAGCACTCCAGTCCTGTGAAATCTCTGAAATCAGCTTTGAACAGATAATGTGATTGGCTGCTGTGTAGGTTTTCTATACTCCTAAGTGGTCAGAAATCAACTGTTTTTAGAGCCACAAACATTGGTGTCACCAAAAAAGCACTGGGAGTTTCAGGGAGGGGTGCTGTTGCCTTCAGTGGAAATTCTGAAGGTTTTATAGTGAATTTACACCTAAATAAGTTAAAGATGCTCTTCTGTTTCTCAGTTTTAAACCGTTAATGTTGCTATTTGCAACCTAAGAAAAACAGAAACAGTTTGGACTGATTCACACTGCTTTTAGTGTTTGGACTATGTTTTTGTTTACAGCTTTTGTTTTCATTTATGAGAAACAAAACTCGCAAACTGGATTTCCCTGCGACTCTCTTCAGTCCCTTGTGAAGTTTAAGTCCATTCTGTGAAGGTCTATTATCTACAAATATACCATACAAAACACTAATTCTGTTCTGGCAAAACAATTGTGTTGTCACTTCTGTCCTGTCCGTAACTTATGGACAAAGGAAACGGATGCTTAGTGGTGGGAATTGTATTGTATGCAAATACATGCCATAAAAATAGTTGATGGGAAAATATTCTCCCACATAATAGAAAAGCAGCAAGGTCACTGGAGCTATTTCAGAGCAGTTCTGAGCACTGTGCTGTTCTGCTTGCAAGCTGGCAAGGCAGTTCTTCACTTGAAAACTGGATTTTATATTGGAATATTGGTGACAAAGCCACGTGCTGCCATCGCTGACACAGGGATCTGCAGCTTCTTTCTGAACTTGAGCTTGTGTGCACAGGGGTTGCAAATTTGCTCTTGAAAGGCAGGTTTCTAATCCTGGGAAACAAGTAATGTAAATCAAGTTTGCTGTTATCTGTTTGAGCACTAGAAGGTTGGTAATGGTCTTGAGCAGAAAGATAATATTAAAAACAATTTACCTTCAATAGGTAGATTGGTAGATTTGTGTTAAACTGAAATGAAATCTGATTCTTTGGTTAATGAACATCTCCACTTTTTGAAAAGGATAGTTAAAAACTAATGCTCTCCTGGAGGTGGTATGGAGGGGTTGGCTTGTTTCCACACAGGAGAACTCTGACCTGGTGGTGTTGGTTGGTGTTTACCATGGGAAGCTGGGCTTGCATTTTGTAATAGTGCTCTTTCTTACCTGAATTTAGTGATCTGAAAATGGAGGGACAGAAACAGCGACATCCTTCTGGGGGAGTTTCAGTATCTACTGAGATGGTGCTTGGACTCGAAGGAGTAGAGCTGGGTGCTGATGGCAAGGTAAGGACATTTACTTTTTCACCCCAGGACCATTTCATGCTGGGACAAATCAATTTATGGAGTGCTTTGCTGTCCATTATGTGAGAGCTGTGGCTTTTCAGAGTAGTGGAAGTTTTAGACCCATAGTTTGAAATTGTGGCTTGTGATAATGGTTCTTCTGAAGAGGCTGCTGAAGTTTGTGATCACTTCTGCCTCTGTTTCTGGAGAACTGAGTTGGCTTTGCTATCTGAGGCAACATGTGAGTGAAGTTCTGATAGAAATATGGATGAAATTCATACTGCTTCAGTTAAGTTTATAATGCCAGAATTTTACTTGTGATTCTTGCCTTTTCTTTGCCATCCCACCAAATCTTCTACACCACTTCATTTTAAAGCTGTGGAAACAAGGCACGCCTCATCCAACTTTTCCCTTCCTCCTGTCTCACAGTTCCAAGCTCCCCACTCCCAAATCCAGACTCTAGGGCACTCTGATTTGGAAAATCCTAGGTGTCTAGAAAAAAGCTTTTCAGTAAATTTCCCCCCATAACCACTACAACTTTCTCTTCTTTCAGGTTGTGTCCTATGCAAAATTCTTGTACCCAACCAACGCTCTGGTTGTTCGCAAAGCCGACGCCTACGGTGCTGCTCCCGCCTGTCGAGCCAGTGCTCCCCGGAGTCTTCCTGGATCAAGATACAAACCTGTGACAGCAAAAACGATACCAGCAGGTGCAGACATTGGTAAGGACAGCAGCCAGCTCTGTCATCACTGGTGCACGCAGCAGAAAAGGCAGAGATTTGTCTGAGACAACTGCAGGTGGTCAGTGTGTTGTTGGGATGGAGGTGCTGCAGCTTGTTAGTGCAGTGCAAATGATGAGCCTTAGGACTGAGGCTTCCACAAACTCCTGACATCCTCCATATATCTGGCCTTGTTCTGTTTATGCCATTCAAGAGGCACAAAGCTTTTCCTTGGGAATGTAAAGTTTTATGTTACTCACCAAGAAGCATCTGTTATGTGGAGCCAGGTGGTTCTCCTTGCCTTCTAGCACAGTGACAATGCATAAGCCAGAGTTTGTGCCAAGAATCCCTTCTCTTGTGTGAAAGAGCAAACCTGACAACAACTCTGCTGTCTGTTAGACTACAGGCAAAAGAATTCATTCTTGGGCAGTTGTTTTCTGGGTATATTTGTAGATGCAAACTCAGCTTGCACTAAACCTAAATTGGTGTGTCAGGCATGGTGTGTGTGTGGTGGAGAAAGAGTTTGTGTGGTTTATTTAATTGTTCTAATTGTGACTGGTGTATTTATGAAATGCAAGCATGTGCCTGTAGCTGCAGTTTGCCTGTGCTGTGAGATCTGCCAACACTTAACATTTGCTGTTTGAAAACTTTCTTAAGGAGGAAACAGGGAATTTAAAGCACTTTTTCTGGTGACCCAATGTGCTTTCCTCATTCCCTCAGGAAGTGAAGCTGGAGAAGCTGCAGAGTATGATCCAAATCTTCTGGATGATCCTCAGTGGCCCTGTGGAAAACATAAACGTGTTCTCATCTTTGCCTCCTACATGGTGAGTGACTGGCATACCTGAAGTTGGAGAGACTCCCTAACAGATCCTCCTATAAAGAGTTTTTTTGAGGAAGAAAAACTCCTCTAGGAAGAAAAAGTGGTTTTTTTCTGATAATTGATTAGGAAAAATACAAACAGTTGAGTTTGTACAGTGAGTTTGTCAAAAGGCCAACCCGACACCTGTCTTCATGTTGTCATTTATTTCTTGTAACAATTTGCTTACTGTTTTTTTTAAAGACTTTGTCTATAGTTGGGTTTCAACTTTGGGACATTTAAGAAATGTTAAATTGTGAATAATAAAACTCAAGTTTGCCTTTGCATTAGTGTTTTTGGAAGAGTTGTTGGTTGTCAGTCCTGTTCACAAGACAAATGATAAATTTTGCTTCTTGCATTTCAGACTACAGTCATAGAGTATGTGAAACCCTCAGACCTTAAAAAGGATATGAATGAAACCTTTAGAGAGAAGTTTCCTCATATCAAGTTGACACTGAGCAAAATTAGGAGGTAAGAAATAAGCCTTGAATAACAAGGACATCATCCACACTGTTTGAGGCTGCACTTGTATGCAGCAAATACTAAATCTATTAATAGCATATATGATTAAACACTAATCTCCTGTTGTCAGTTGAGCTGACTTGCAGGATGACAGCCCTGTGCTGGAATCTTCAGGATGCTGAGAAAGGGTAACAGTTGTTTTTCAAAGTTCCACCTCAAGGGTTTTGTTTCACCAACTGTGGTGTACTAACACTAGGAGCCAATTAACAGTGGAGTAGCATTAGCTTTGAAACAAACACTTGTAACCTGATTGCTTGGCTGCAGTGCAATCCCACTCCAACTGGATTGGCTTTCTGGGCCCTCTGGCTATTTTTGCCTTTCAATTAACAAAGTCAGTGATGACCACAGACTTTAACAAGATTGTAGGATGAAGAGTGTTAGATCTGGGGAGACTTGGTAAAGAAAAGCTTTTGGTGGAGGCCACAGAGAATTTCTCATCCTTGAGTAAATGCATCTGATCTGGTTGCTCCTCACCAAGATGCACCGTTGCACCTTCAGAGAGCTGTAATCTTGCTGGTGTTACAGGGAGATTAATGCAATCAGAGCCTTTTGAAATAGCCAGCTTGAACACAATTCTGCTCAGTCACCAGGGCCAGGTGTAGCTCAGCTCCAGGGGAAGGTTTGCTTGGCCAGTCTGTTCTGCCCAAGTCCTGCATGCTCCTCTTTACAGCAGTTCAGAGCAGTGTGTTCCTGCAGAGATCATGTAGCTACAGTGTGGATGGCAGCCCTACGAGGAGCCATACACCTCCAAGCCTGATAAATGCTGAGCTGAAGAGCTGGCTGTGTGGGGAGTGTGGCAAGCAGGCTGCCTTCCCCTCACACCTGGCTCTTACACAAGGTGTCTACTCGACAGGTCTCTGTGCAGCAGCTGCTGTCACCTGCAGGGCTCTGCTGTGGTTCTCTGCAGGTCAGAGTTCTTCACTCTTACGATATGAATCACAAACCAGTTTGGGAGCCCAGAAGAAATCCTACAGCAATAGCCTGTGTGTCAGTGAGGCAGCTAAGCTCTGGTGTTTATGGGCACATGAGGAATTGTTCTACCACAGTGGGTATTGTCAGCTAGGTGAATTAGTGTTTTTGGAAGAGTGAAATCAGTTTGTGCATCAGCACCAGCTGGGCTTTTCCACTCTAGCATAACTTGCCATGGTTTTCCAAATAGGAATCTTGCCCATATGCTCCTCTGAGCTGCTGTGCTGCACTATTTCTACAGCATTTAATAAAATCTGTCATGTCTGGGGGGGGTGTCTTTTCTCCTATTCCCAGTTTAAAGAGAGAGATGAGAAACCTGAGTGAGGAGTGCAGTCTGGAGCCCGTGACTGTCTCCATGGCTTACGTTTACTTTGAGAAGCTCGTCCTCCAAGGCAAACTCAACAAACAGAACCGCAAACTGTGCGCTGGTGCTTGTGTTCTGCTCGCAGCCAAGATCAGCAGTGACCTCAGGAAACATGAAGTGAAACACCTAATAGATGTAAGTGCTGTGAGCCTTGTTCCAGCTGCTGTCAGAGCCTCCTCCCCAGCTCACAGGCAGAGATTAAATGCAAGGTTTTCAGTGGCACGTGCTTCCATGGAAGACCAGCTCTTTCAGTCAGTTTTATGTCTCAGTAGGGCTCATCCTTGCTTTGTTTTTTTAATTCATTAAAACTGTCTGCCTGATGCAGGCTAGTGTCTTACTGATCCTCCAGTAAAGTTATTTTTGCACTAGTATATGTTTGCCAGAGAAGCAGTAACAGTTGTGTGGGTGTCACAGCTGAGCTGATAAGCTGGTTTTGATTCTGAAAATAAGCTCAGGCTGTGCATCAAAGACTTAATCTAACAATGCCTTGAAATCACCTGGATTAACTGATTCTTTCTCCCTTCCTTTGTTTTGTTTTGTTACCACTGTGACAGAAACTAGAAGAGAGATTCAGATTCAACAGAAGGGATCTCATCGGTTTCGAATTCACCGTCCTCGTGGCTTTGGAACTGGCTCTGTATCTCCCTGAAAACCAAGTTTTACCTCATTACAGACGGCTCACACAACAGTCTTAACCAAAGCTCCATCCCAGCTGGCATCCAGCTGTGCTGGGATCCCACCCCAGGATGCTGCCTGTGGAGGTGCCACTGGCTCCAGCTCGTTGGGAAGGCTGCAGGGTGATGGGAACTGTCGAGGTCTGTGGACACAGATGCCAAATCTGGGGGATGGTACGAGAAGAGTTATTGAACTTTTGTTTTCTTTTGGACATTTAAAGCACAAATATTCACCAGTCAGCTGTCATGGCTGCTTATTATTCCTTATTTATCTTCCTGGTTTTACTAAAACTGTTCTTCCCTATGAAGAATACTATGGTATTGGTTCTTTTGTTTTGTTTTAAGCCTTTATTGTATTCCTTGAAACTGAAGGAACATCACTTCCATTCCAGTGCACCATAAAGTTCAGATGTTTCTAAGAACCTTCTCACATTTTTACATTAATGAAATGCATACTTTATTTTTTTAAAGATGTGCCTAAAACTGGCTGGTCTGGTACCAGTGCTTTTTAAGTTAGTTCTGTTATTTAGTGGGGAATCCTGAATTTGTATAGCCATTTATTCTTTACCTGCATTGGCCTTGCATACAAGGAAAACAATTCCAGTATATCTGCACTAATAATATACAGGGCATCTATTCTATGATCTATAAGTAGCAAGATTGAAATTACTCCATTTCAATGTATTTACTATAAATAACTTTAAAATATACATTTTGCTTTAGAAGGAAAATTGGTTTGAAAACGTGTCATGAAGTACCACACATTGAGTGAGGTAGCTGGGAAGTGATTGCCGTCCTAATTCACTCTTGAGTGGAAGATGAGCACTTGACTAAGAGCAATTTGCTGTCAAATGTACAATTTAGGGGTTTTATTTGTTTCTCTGTTCTGTAGCCTGAAATAAGCACCTTTTTTAGGATCGACTGTATTATAGATGGTGTTATCTGAGCAAATATGAAGCCAGTAGAGTTACTGCTGCCAACCGAGGCCAATGAAACAAAGCATGCTCAGTATTTAAAATGCTACTTTTTTTACTCTCTGTTCTTCCAAGCGTTGCATCACTGTGATGGTCCTCATAAAACTGGCATTTCTTGCACATCTGAGCAGCCACTACTGGCTGGTGCCCAGCAGCTCTCTAGTGCATACACAGAGCTCAAATAACTTCTCTTCCTGTTGGCTTATTCCTTCCTTTATTTTTACAGTATCCAGGTTGGGAATGAATTCTTGATTATACCTGGAACCTTCTGTGGTATTGGCTCATGGGTTTATTTTCTGAAGCAATATTATGATACAAGTTACTGGGTCCCTTTGCAAGGAACAAAACTGATACTTGGTTATTCCAGCTGAGAAAGTTGTTATTTAAGTTTGACTCATAAACTGCCAGACGTCGTGCTGAGGTCAGGGACTTGCTATCCAATATGTAAGTAATGTAAATTCCTGTTCCTTGTATTAAATATTGGTTGTAGCCAAAACCAAAGCTGAATCCTTGCTCTTCAGCTGTGTTTTGTCTGAAGCTAATTTGGCTTCATTAGAATTGCAGCAAACTTTACTGGAGCCCCTTCCTCTCAGAGTGGGGCTCAAAGTGTATTTTTCATATGTAATAATTACAGCGACTATCAAACTTTTGTAACTGTGTTCAGCTGTATGTAGCTTCAAATTATTTGTGTGAAATTTAATATGCTTGTGATTTCTCTAACACAGAAGGACTTTCCAGTCTCCAGAAGTGAGATGTAGCTAATAGTTTAGACAATAAGCTTGCCAAATATCTTCCAAAAGGTTTAAAAAAAATTGCCTACTACTTAAACTTTCTACTGAATATAACTGTCCTTGCATGCAGAAATAGTGACATTCTAAACATCTAGTGTGTAATGAGCCTCCAATTAGCAAACAGTGGTGCAGACAGCTGAGGTGGTCCACCACTTCCCAAGGCATTGTGGAGGGGCCAGAGGTATAACAGAGCAAAGAAATTTCTCACAGAACAGCTTGAGTAGTATGAATGAAATCTGAACGTGTCTTTCTCTGGGAACTTCTTTATTTAGTGTATAAAGAGTTTTCTGTAACAAAATTAACCTTCCTTTCTCACCATCCAAGGGAACAAAACGCACTTTGGTTTGCAACACTTTGTATTCAGTGGAAGTTTGTCTAGTTCAGGTGGCCACTTGGGCTGTAATTACACTCCCAGAATCCGTGGGTTTCCGTCATAAAACCGGCAAGCTTTTGTTTCCTTCCAGGAGAACAAACTGGGATAGAGGAGCATTAAATTACAGAAAGCTGAATGTTGTCTGATAGTTACTGTAGCTCTTGGCTTGGGCACACACTCGAGTTAGGAAGCCAGGGGTGATGCAGGGCAGTGCCAGCCTTGTGTGGCAGAGCTTGGGCTTGGGGTGATGCTGCCAGAGCCCGGGGCTTGTGCAGGAACACGTGTGTGTCAGGGACAGCCAGGAGCCCTTCTGCAGGGACAGCCAGCCCAGCCCTCCTGCAGGGACAGCCAGGAGCCATTCTGCAGGGACAGCCAGGAGCCCTTCTGCGGGGACAGCCAGCCCAGCCCTCCTGCAGGGACAGCCAGCCCTCCTGCAGGGACAGCCAGCCCTTCTGCGGGGATAGCCAGGAGCCCTCCTGCAGGGACAGCCAGCCCTCCTGCAGGGACAGCCAGGAGCCCTTCCGCAGGGATAGCCAGTCCAGCCCTCCTGCGGGGACAGCCAGGAGCCATTCTGCAGGGACAGCCAGGAGCCCTCCTGCAGGGACAGCCAGGAGCCCTCCTGCAGGGACAGCCAGCCCTTCTGCAGGGGATAGCCAGCCCTTCTGCGGGGACAGCCAGCCCTCCTGCAGGGATAGCCAGGAGCCCTTCTGCGGGGACAGCCAGCCCTTCCGCAGGGATCCTCCCGCAGTTCCCCCTGCTCTCCCTGCCGGGTTTGCCCTTCCCAGAGCGCAGCTCGCACTCCTGTGCGGGAATCTCTCTCTTTTCACCTAAAAGCTGCCACCATGTGGCAAAGCACTCTCAGTACCTTGTGTGTTCAAACTCAGCGCGGGACCCGGAGCCAGAGCCAGACCTGTTCACGTTTGCACAGCCAAACTCCTCTTGCCCTGAAGAGAAGCAGGTTTACACCAAAGGGAGGTCTGGTGCTATGTGAAGGTGCTGCTGGGGTGGCTCAGCACGGAGAACTCTCTTGAGAAGAGCCTGTACATTTCCCTGTAAACAAAAACTCTTCTAGTTTTGTTATATTCCATTATTTAAAAGTCTCAGTTGTAGCCTGTTTTGGTTTGGTTTTTTGTTTGTTTTTTTTTTCTTCTGTGAAATTAAGATGCTGTGAAATAAAACCTGTTTTGGTACATGGTTTGTAACCCAATGTCTCATTTTGGAATAAGAGAATGGGTGGTGTTGGAAGGGCCCTCTGGAGATCTGCTGCTGAGGCAGGTCACCTGGAGCAGGTGCCACGGGAGTGTGCAGGTGGGTTTGAAATGTCTCCAGAGACAGACTGCCCGTGTCCCGAGCAGCTGTGACAGCGATCTGCCACCCTTGATGGAAAATTATTCATCAAGTTCAGGTGGGATTTTTTTTTTTTTTTGTTTTGTTTATGGCCATTTCTCCTTGGCACCGCTACAAAGAGTCTGGCAATATTTTCTGCCAGCCCTTGGAGATATTTGTACAGATGGAGGAGCTCTCCTCTCAGGCCCAGCTCCTCCAGAGTCCCTCCTGAGAGAGAGGCCCCAGAGGCCTCATCATGGCTGGGGCCCTCCCCAGGAGCTCGGAATGCTCTGCTGGGTTTCCGTGAGGGTTCCGGGCCGCTCTGCTCACAATCCCGGAGCGCTCAGGATGGCGGGCACCTCTGGAGCCCACACCGCCCAACCCCCTGCCGAGGGTGCGTCACCTGGAGCGGGTGAGTTCGGAATGTCACCCGAGAGGCCCGCTCGGGTGTGCAGCCCCCAGCGAGGCGCTGTCCCTGGCCGGGGAGACGAGGACGAGCCCCGCGGCCCTGAAGGGCCGGGCCGGGCGCCATCCCTGATCCGCGCCGTGACGTCACGCGGCCGCGCAGGAAGCGTTCGCGGGGCTGTGACGTAATTCCGCGTCCGGCCCCGCCCTTTCCTTTCCTCCCGGCCGCGCGTGAGGTGGGAGCGATGGCGGCGGGGCCGGGAAAGGCGGCGGGAGCGATGGGAGCGGGAGCCGTGGGGGCTGTGGCAGCGGGAGCGATGGGAGCGGGGCCGGCGGGAGCCGTGGGGGCTCTGGCGGGGCCGGGAGCGGTGGCGGAGCCCCGGGAGCGATGCTGAGGGCGGGGACGGTTCTGCCCGCGAGGTTCGGCTGTGTGGGCCCGGCCGGGCTCCGGCATCACCTCACGGCTCTGGGCACTGTGGGCAGCGACGAGACCCAAAGGAAAGGCTGGAGCTGAGTCAGGGAGGGTGAGGGTGGGTTTTGGGAAAAGGTTTTTCCCCCGGAAGCAGGCACTGCCCAGGCTCCCCGGGGCATGGCACGGCCCCGGAGCTCCGGGAGCGCTGGGACAGCTCTGCCGGGGATGCCCAGGGTGCCACTGCTGGGGTGCCTGTGCAGGGCCAGCACTTGGACTCGATGGTCCTTGTGAGTCCCTCCCAAATGGCGATATTCCGTGATTCCTGCAGGTGTTTGTGCTTAGTGCCCCAGCAGGAGCAGGACGAGATGCAGAACGACGCCGGGGAGTTTGTGGACCTTTATGTCCCTCGGAAATGGTGAGCAGGGACTGAGGAGCCAGCCAGGGCTGGAGGGGTGCCCAAAATATCCCAAAATCCATCCCAAAAACATCCCTGGAGCCCTCACCTGTGCAGCCCGTGTAAAAGGGCTTTTTGCAGCCTGTGCAAAAGGGCTTTTTTTGTAGCAGCAAATATCTGTAGGGGGAGAAAAAATCAGTTTTCTATCAGTTTAAAAAGTCATTAAAAATAAGCCACTTGTAGGAATTTTATTAGATTAAGTTAAATATGTTTTACAGCTTGTAATTCCTGAGTATCCCAACCTGAGTGTCTTTGACAGCTGTAGTGGCTGTCAACAAAAAAGGCATGGAAACTAATCCTATTAATTACCTTGATGACTGTATTTTTGCATTTTAGAAAACAATATTCTGTGTGTTTTGAAGGCCTGTACTGCCCTGTACACTGCGTGGAGGTGAACTGGGCACATAGAAACCAAAGTGAAGGCAAAACTGGCTAATAAGTGTGATGCTACCAAGTGAAAATATTCTTTAAATGTACTTAAAACTGCATTTTAATCTTCTAAGTAATGAAAGCTTAAACTGTTACTGTCTAAATTCCTTGTGCAGTTTTAATTTGCCTGTAGGATTGGCTCTAGTGGCTTTCTTTGCCATTGTCACTGCCTGTTTCCTTTTGTTTAAATCTGTCCTGCTTTATTCCTTAGCTCTGCTAGCAACAGAATCATTGGTGCTAAGGATCATGCTTCCATCCAGATAAACATTTCTGAGGTAAGTTTATCAACAGAATATGTGATGAGAGAGCTAAACCTTTAAACTTTAGATAAAAGTTACAGAATTAAACAGCTTGTGATGTATCTTCAGTAATTCAGTAAAGAAAGTCACAATAGACATTGACTCCTGCAGGCTCCCAGTTAATACATGTGGGTTCCAATTAATATAAGCTCCTTGTAGCATGGTTTGGGGTTTTTTTCCCCCAATTGTTTATTAAATTCGGCTTTCAGGAATTTTGTGGACAGAATGTTCCTGTAGCTTATGAGCTGCACAGTTTGATTTGGTTCTTGAATGGGTGACCACATCCCCACATCTTCTAAAAATCTGAGTCTCCTGAGTTACCTTACAAAAAAAAAAGAAAGCTTTAAAAAACCACCCTGTAATTCCTGTAATTGTTAAGGCAGGTACTTTTCTGTTCACGTTTCATTCCTTCAGTGATCCCTAGTCCTTGTTTTCAAAGGATCAGAGATTAGCAGAACATGGAAATGAACCCACCTGGTATGACAGGGTTCACTACCCTGTTTAAATCCATGATTTATATCTTCTAGTGTTTTTCCTGTTAAATTTCACAGCAGCTTGAGGAAGTGAGAGAATTTATTTCTCAGCTTGGACATTTTCCTACCCATGTACCAAGTCTGTCCCTTTCCCCCTTCAGTTCAATTTTCCATTATATGACCTCAGTTAAAAGAAACAAAACAAAAAAAAAGAGTAAAGGCAGGAAAATGTACTTTACACAGAGCTTTTCCATTTGTTCAGAACTCAATTTTTGTTTTTTTTAGCTACCATTTCTTGTCAGTCTGTGTGACCCACTACATTTTATGGCTGCACTGTGCAGCTACAAATCTGCTGTGCAAAGATCATTGTTGTTGACTTTCTAACTCCACTGTTTGCCTTGAGATTCTGAGGTTTATTTCCTCAAGTGCTTTTCTGCAGTTTTTAACTCGGGGTGCTTGGCAAGTGTGCTGTGAGAGTGTAAAACCTGGCAAAGCTTGGCTGTGATTGCAGGTGGACAAGGTGACAGGCAGGGTGAACGGCCAGTTCAAGACCTACGCCATCTGCGGCCCCATCCGGAGAATGGTGAGCATCTCTGGTCACTGGTGAGCTGGGTGTCTGGCCCTGAAAACACTCTGTGGAGTGGGTAAACAAATTCACAGACTCACAGAAAGGTCTGGTTTGGAGGGACCTTAAAGATCATCTCGTTCCATCCCTCCCATGGGCAGGGACACCTTCCGCTGTCCCAGGGTGCTCCGAGCCCTGTCCAGCCTGGCCTTGGGCACTTCCAGGGATGAGGCAGCCACAGCTTCCCTGTGCCAGGGCCTTGGATTGCTTGGAATAATCAATTTCTTCTGGAGATGTTTGTTGTTTTTTTCAAAATGAAGTATACAAATTTTCTTTTAAGAATGTGTATCAAGGTGCTAATTCTGGCTTTTATCTGTTGTTTATAATTACTGGAGGTGATACCACCTTGACTTCAAAACAAGGAGTTCATCACAAGTCCACTTATCCATAAATATATGTTGTTGCTGCAAATGCATATTTTTATATTAAGTATGCATTATATATGCATATTTTATTTTATATATGCATTTGTATTTTTTATGACTTTTTGTCATCCTTAAAGGTAAGGAATTGCCCTTAAGGGTGACAAAAAAGTAACAGTTTATTTTAAAAACACTAATCTGCTCTAACTGCTGCAGCTGCCTCTCTTCCACATGTGTCAGCAATTATTTGGACACTTGAGAATATTTCCTTTTCTCTGTACAGGGTGAATCAGATGACTCCATTCTGCGTCTGGCAAAAAATGATGGAATTGTGTCCAAGTACGTATGTTTATCTTACCCCCTAACTCCTGCAGGGGGAACTTCCATTCCCAAATCCAGTACATTGCATTTATGGTTGGTCAAAGATATTTACTTGAGCTGTTGAAGCAAACTGATTAGTAACAATGTTTATTTCATTTTCTTGTAGGAACTTTTAACTGAAGAAACTCCGGGATGGGACATGTGAAATAAACAGTTCAAAACTACATTGTGCTGTGTCTTTTGTTCAAATCATAAACACAAGTGGGTTTATTATAGTTAGTCTTGAAAGACTTGGAAATGTGTCTTAAGAATATACAGATTCTCACTGTGAGTTCTTAAATCAGCTTGTAAAGCAGTGCCAGAGTCAAGGATTTCCACTTTGTTCTTGGCTTCGCTGTCGTTGTTCTTTTCCAGATTTCATAAGTTTTGCATCTGTAATAGAACACTTGCAGTGTAGCAATCTAACTGAGCTTGCTGCTTTTTCACTGGAAAAACTGAGGGAATTCTTCTTGTTAGGATTCAAGAAAGGGTCTGTCCTTTCTTCCAGATGCTGCTTTTGTGTTGGTAGATTTTGTTTGCACACAGCAGGTTTATTTGTCACTTTGTGATTATCACTTAAATAAATGTCCTGTATGGGTTTGGGTTATAAAATAAGGTTAATAGGGTATGACTTGCATGGAAAATTTCCCCTGTCAGCTGCATTTTACCAGTTCTATAATACCCACAGCTACACAGGGCCTGTCCTGGTGGTGCATCCTGATCTGCACATTCTCAGAGGTTCATCCAGATGACACTTCCCTGCTTTTGAGGGAATTCTTGTTAGGATTCAAGAAAGGGTCTGTCCTTTCTTCCAGATGCTGTACACAGGGCCTGTCCTGGTGGTGTATCCTGATCTGCACATTCTCAGAGGTTCATCCAGATGACACTTCCCTGCTTGTGGTCATCTCTGGCTTAGCATCTGCAGTTGTCCATCCTCAGATCTCTGCACGGGCCCTCCCAGAGCTCTTCCAAGTGGCAGAGGCTGTTTGGTGATGCTTTCCTGTTTATGCTGCAAGCTGTCACCATTGAGAGGGGTCACCATGTGCTTTAT